CTTCTTCTTCTTCTACTACTACTGCTGCCGCCACCAGCAGCACCACCACCACCTCGACCACGACTACTACCACCACCTCTACTGTTCTGCTCCTCCTGCGACTCGACCCCAAACCCCGAATCCTGTACCCTAGGTCGAGCCTAAGCCCAAGCGCTACAACCCTAAGCCTCAGCCTCACAACCTTGAGGCCCTGAGCCCTACAACTCGGCAGCGCTACAACCGTAAGCCCCCAGCCCTGTGCAACCGAAGCCCGAGAATCCTAGAGCCCTAAACCCCAGGCCCTACCCCTTACGGCCCTAATAGGGGCCTTAAACATTAGAATTGGGTTTGGGGCTATATTCTAACTATAATACTTGAGGCTTCGGTGTTCTTCTCTTCCCTAAACCTTGAACCCTAAAACCTAAACCCTAATCACCACTCTCTTCGCGATCGCCAGGGCCCCGTCGACGAAGAAGGGCCGCGGACCCGCATGAAGCCAGGCCTGCCCTGCGAAGGTTTAGGGATCAGGGTTTAGGGTTCAGGAATCAGAGTTTAGGGTTCTTTTTTTTTTAAATGTTTAGGGTTCAGGGCGTAGGGTTCAGAGTTTAGGGTTCAGGGCGTAGGGTTTAGGGTTTAGGGGGTATATTGAACCACCATAGCCTAATTTTTCTAGGGTCCTTACGAACTCTGTGTTTTGTGGCTTTATTGTTTCTTCATGATATCATTGTTAAAATCATAATCATCATGGTCGTTGCGAAAATGAAGTTCATCTTAGTCTTGGTTTTGATTATTACGCTACTCGTATTCTTCTCCTGGCCCTTATTCCTACGTATCAATGGTATTGCTCTTACTCGTGGGATTCGTATTGATGTCTTCATGTAGTTCTACTCGCTTGTGAATCTTCGCGGAATTCTTAAAATTCTTGTGCTTGCCCTTAGTAATATAGAACCCTCTGGTACCATCATATGAAACCAGAGGAACCTTAAGGGAAGCCTGGGAAAGGAACCCTAACTAGGTTTCTGTGTTTGTTCTGTTAGGCACCATTTGCAGAAGGCTTATGGGGCTGGGAAGATCAACGGTTCAGACAAGGGCGCGACTAACAATAATAGAAAGAATAAAAGTCATAATAATGATACTAAACATGAGATTATTGTTACATTATTATGATCGTAAATATGAAAATGATAATAAATGCCAACATTACTCACGCAGCGCTGGGGGCCGCAAGGAATCTGGTTTTAAGTTCCCGTTGTCCTTCAGTCGTTTTGTGCAAACCCTCTTTAATCGGAGCCTGGCGAATTTCAACAGGGTCTAGGGTGCATTGCAATATATTACAAAAAAGCCTTACTAGTTAAAGCAAGCCTGACGCCCCGAATCCCCAAACCTTCCCACTCTAAAACCAACACCCCGACACAGCTAAACCCCATATCCCATGAAAGGGAGTACTCGCAACGTCCTAAAGACGAGAACGGGAGGTGCAGAAAGTCAGGAAGCCCCGGATTGGCACATAAATCCTCTGTGTGGGCATGGGAAAGTTCGAGAACGCAAAACCCAGGCATACCGGTGATGTTGAGGTTACGGGTTGAAGGTTTAGGGAATAGATAGGTCATGATCACTGTGGCAATGGATGTGATGCTGATGGTAACTGATGGTGTTGATGGTAATGATCGTTGGAAAACTACAGCCGTGAAGACTGCATGGTACGTCGCAAATGACGATATGACGTGGACGTAGATTCTAGGATTTCTGAAATGAAGAAACAGCGCTGCATGGTGAAAACCACCATGCATCCTCGCACTACTGCAAAATGCGCGAAATAATGCGGAACACCTCACAACATTGGATCAATGCCTGCATCGGTGAGCTGTGGGCTGGCGAAGGGCTTCCTCCACGAGACACATGACTTGAATTGAACCGACATCTCTCCACACGATAGCACCCCGTTGCTTCGGCATGAGAAAAGTAACAATGCTAACCATCATTGCAATCAAGACCACCATCATCATCATCGTCACAATCATCAGCACCATCATCCACATCATCATCATCATCATCAACAACATCATCAACGACACAACCACCACCCCACCACCAGCACCAGCACCAGCACCAGCACCAGCGCCAGCGCCAGCGCCAGCGCCAGAGCCAGCGCCAGGGCCAGGGCCACGCCCACCAGCACCAGCACCAGCACCAGCACCAGCACCAGCACCAGCACCAGCACCACCACCCACCAACAACAGCAACAGCAACAGCAACAGCAAACGGCAACGGCAACGGCACGTAGGATAGGAATGTCACCCATGGGTACCGGGTGCACACCGGGGCCAGCATTGGGAGGATGCTTTCGAGCTGCAGGCCGTAAAGTTGTATCCATCTCCTGTGTCTGACTTGCTCCCATGCGCTGGCAGCTGAACAGCGGTGCTGCGCGAGGCTCTCGACGGTGGTGGCAGCTTACCCTGCTTGCGTACGATCGTGTAGTTGCTGAAGCAGACTGCGCGAAAAGCACAAGCGACCTGTGAGAAACTGCTCGTACAGATTCATACCAACCAGAATGCCAGCAAAACTGCGCAGAGACAGCTTTTAGCTGTCGTTGGGTGTCTCGTCCAGAAAAATCCACGAGGAGGTGAAGCACGTTCAAATGGCTCAAGCAGAAGGGCGTCCCTTTTGAATCGCAAAAGAGCCCGTGGCAAACCTTTTTGCGCCCGAAGCCTGGTTAGCACAGCTAAGATGCCGTCTGCGAACCGTAGCGGCTACAACTACAACACAACAGCAACAGCAACAGCCACAGCCACGGCCACGGCCACAGCCGCAGCCACAGCCACAGCACCAGCAATAGCACCAGCACCAGCAACGACGATAGTATCTTGAGCACCCATAAGAAGGCTATAGCTTCTGCACTCCGGACATGCCTTGCCTCTTTTGCCGGTTCTCCGGACCAAACGAGATCTCCAAACGCACCAAGCCGTGGTGAATGGCGCAGTCCAGTACGCGGTTCCTGCACTCAACATAGTCACTATGTGACCAAGGATTCCTTCAGGTTAGAGGGCTTTGGAAATGTGATTTAGATGTGCCCGAAAAAAATACGCAGGCACAGCCAGCAAGGAAACAAAAACAGTCGTCGAGGACTTCACTTCTGGACCAAGTACAGTTCATTAATGTAGCTGGCCTAATGGGCTCCAAGGTATTTATTCATGGTATAATGCTACGAAGGAGCCCTATCAAGGTACTTGTCTATGGTAAAATTCTAGTAAGCAACCCCATCAAGGTACTTATGTAAGGTAGAATTCCAATACGGAGCCCTATCAAGGTGCTTATTTCTGGTATAATTCGCCGCTTTGAGCCGAGCAGCCAGTCATCGTCCGATCGGCGGCTCCGCCCGGCACTCTTCCTGCATAGAGAGAGCCGAGAAAGGGCTTTAGGGTTTTTAGGGTTTAGGGCTTTAGGATTTTAGGGTTTAGGGCTTTAGGATTTTAGGGTTTAGAGGGTTAAGGGTTTAGGGCTTGGGGGATTAAGGGTTCTAGGGTCCAAGGTGTAGGAGTTTCGTTAAGGTGTAGGAATTTCGTTAGCGCTTGAGAGCTTGGGGTTTTAGATGGCTCCAGTTGAAGGGCTTCAAGTGGCTTCCGAAACACGGCTGCCCTCAATACTATGACAACTAGATACACATCCCGGCAGCAAACACCCTAAACCTGAAACCCTAAACCCCCTAAACCCCAAATACCTAAACCCTATAAGCCCTAAAACTCCTAAACCCCAGACACCTAAACCCTAAAACCCATAAAACCGAAACCCCAAACACCTAAACCCTAAAACCCCTAAAACCGAAACCCAAAGCTCCACTCCGCCTCAGGGCCGTTACAGCCGCTGCGCGGCCGCTGCGGCCAGAACTGACTAGGAAGCGCAACAGCAGCCTCAGGTTACTACGCGTTCAGGGTTTAGGGTTTGGGGTTTAGGGTTTAGGGATTGATGATATAAATCCTGCATTACCCATAGTAAGGAATGTACCATAAGTTCCCATGGCTCAGAGTTCTGCAGGTAACGCAGGCTTTGTATCATCAACAGTATTATTTCCGATTGTTACGAATGTTGCTCTTACTATAAAGACTATTGCTATTATCATTGCTAGATTGATGAGGAGGATGAGTATGATTGTTATTGTTATCATCTGCCTTTGGGAGATGGGGCCTGATGCCTTATTTTTGGTGCGACGTGTGGCCGCGGCATTGAGGTCCCTATGTTAGTCAGTTGAGGCTCGGGGTGTTCGGTGATTGAGAGCAGGGGCCTTGTAGCTTCGAGCTTCGGAAATGAGATGTCCTAGCACTTTACGGCTTTAGTGCGTTCTGGGGGGAAGTATGTGTGAGTTGTAAGCACTTTTGCCCGTGAATATCGTGCTGCTCTTGGGCTGTGGCTCCTTGCCCAGCATCCTCAAAAGCCGTTTTAGTTAAGGAATACCAGCAACAGAGGGATCCCTTCATCTAGCCAAGGTAGTGTCCTTCCTGACATGCTCGGGGTTTTCTAGAGAGGTTGGGAAGCATCGGGCGTCTGGGAAACATGGCCAGGAGCGTGCCGGGCTCATCCAGGCCATGCCAGTCATTCAGACTGTAGACTATACTTGCAGCATCGGCATAGTCCTGCTACACTCGAGTTGCTGCGAATGGCACGCTGCTGCTCTGCCATATGCTATAGACTACTATAGACTATAGAATCTGCCCAAATGTGGGAACACTGATGACTATACAGTTGCAAGATCCTGAAACATGCCATAATGCCATTCATGGCCATTTTACCTGCACTGACGCCTGTGCTTACGCCAGACACCTTCTTGGCTGAGGTGCTTCGAATTTGACTTCCCTCTGATGGTCCCAAGTTGGGTCCAGTACCGGATGCTATGCACAAGGTTCCCACATACTGCCCTCTCGCTTTGACAGGGTTTGGGGTTTCTTGATTTTGGGTACTGCGCTTGTCTCGAACGGTCGCCTGAAGCGACTCGCTGTCTCAAGCTGAGTGGTCAGCACGGGGCAAGATCAGAACTCGATTTCCATGGTGAAATCGTAGTTGATGGTCGGCACCACGCTGGAGATGAACTTGAGGAACACGAACAAGGCCTCGGATTTATCTTTGACGCCACAGGCTCCACTCTTCAGGGCATCCCGTCCAATTGACATGGATGCACCGGAGAAAAGCTCTACAGCACGATGCCCTTTCGGAACACAACGTCGTGGTCCGCGCGGGCCGTATCACGCGACAGCTGAAAGTGCCAACTAATTGAATTAGTCATGCTGACCCCTGTGGGGGTAACTAGCGTTGAAGACTAACATGTGTAATGGGCAACAGCACTGAAACCAAATGCAGACCAGGTGCGAGGTCGTGCCTGGGGGTTAACCCCTGCTCGATCCAGTCTTGAATCACCTTCTTCATAACTTGCGCATGCTGGCAGGGATGGATGGACACTGTTGGTGTGCCCGTGAGAGGATGAGGGTCCACAGTGACCGTCTTGGACTTGTAGTCACTAAGCACGTCCTCATAGACCTCTTCGGGCTTCAGGGGGTCCCCCCGCTCGTTGTAGCCGAACAGCCAGAGTCTGGGCGTCCGGTAATACTTGTCGTAGGTGATGGACAAATCCTTACACTGGGCCGCCGGAAAAGCTGAGGGGACGAGGCAGACTGTCGGCAAGGTGTGATCCCTGGAAACTGTACTGGAATCCGGAATCCGAAATCCGAAGAGCCGAAACATGTTGGGGAGTTGAGAGAGCACGGACGGACGCAGCACCTTCCCTGACACCGCTCACAGCATACTTACACATGCCAACCCCAGCCGATATCTGCTGCATCGCCCAAACATAACTTTGCACGCCTGTCCTTTCTGTGAATGTAGATGCAAGCAGCATGTTCAGTCCCGGTTGGTGCACACACGTTGATGCACTGCATGCATGACGAGATACAAACACATAACATGCACTGACACAGCAACACACACGCCCACTTTCTCTCTCGCACTTGCCTTGCTTACTGACTTACCTACTTACTTGCGCTGGCTGGGCAGCAAAACCTCCAAACCCTGAACCCTAAAAGCCTACTCACCCTACTCCCTGCAGCCCTAAAGCCCTAATCCCTACAGCCTCAAAACCCTAAACATGAACCAAGGAAGGAAAGCCCCGGACCCTATCCGAGATGCGTAGGTGCGCGTCTTCACGATGTTCGTGTCCGGGGCCTCGGCCACGACCAGGCCGCCAGAGGGCGCCGCATAGCCAGCAGAGGGGTAGTCGTCCTATATATATATATACATACATACACATATGTATACATACATATATATATATATAGAGAGAGAGAGAGGGTTGGGGTTTATAGGGTAGAGGTAGCAGAATCGGTTTAGGGTTTGGGTTGAGGGGAAGCTACCTAACTTAAGCAAGTATACCGAAAGTACAGAATCATGCAGATCTTGAAATGGATTTGCATAGTAATTAATCGTTTGTATATGCGCATAAACATCTGTAACACATGCACCGATCTATGTACTCGGAATTGGTGGTAGCTAAAACCCCCCTAAACCCTAATCGAATTGCTAAGGCCCCCCTTTTTATGTGGCCTCCTGCAGCTGCTGGTCCAAGTCTGAGAAGTCAGGCAACGTCGATGCTGCCGCACCGCCTCCAAGCTTGCCAGCAAGACCAGGGTTCAGTGTTCGGTGTTCGGGGTTTAGGGTTTAGGGTCTGGGGCTTAGGGTTTGCAACAGGGTCTAGGGTTAAACCCTAAGCCCTAAATCCGTCAGGAGTTTGGGGTCTAGGGGACTGCTATCCTGGACAGCGGGGGGTCATACAGAGGTCCACGAGGCTATGAGAGTGTGGGCTGTTGCTGAGAGATGGACTCTAAGTCAGGGCACTAAGAATTATGACAGGAGTTATTTCTGGGTATCTTTATGCCATAAGTATGTAAGGACTATAAGTATGTAGGGACTGCGTAGGAACCACATAGTACTAGTCAGTGACATTACGGGGCTCTTTTGAAACAACTCAAAAAAAATTCCGAAAATAGGGGACCCTAATATAGTACCCTAAATAGTAGGATCCTTATTCTAAGGACCCCAAAATAAGGTACCCTCAATTTTCGGAAAGTCCCAACTGCGTCGGTGGCCTCCCAGGAAGTCGTCGTCCGCATTGAAGACGATCCCTTTCCCCTCCGTCTTGCTAGCTCCTGTGACAAGGACCCCTTAGGGGGGTTAAGGGGGCGGGGGGGGTAGGGGACCATACTTCCTTAAAGAGACCTTGTAAATCCTTATTATTATAGGTCCTTATTACCAGTATTAGGGGGGACTACACTTCCCTGAAGAGGCCTTAAATCGGCCATATTCGGTCCTTATTACAGGTATTAAAGACCCCTACCGCCCTAAATCATTCTCATGATCCTGTCAGACCACTGCTCTGCTCAAGCGCTCAGACCCACAGGGCCGCAAATTCGGGTTTAGGCTTGAGGGGATTAGGGGAGTTAGGGGTTAGGGGTTTAGGGGTTTAGGGGTTAGGGGCTTAGGGGGGGTTTAGGGGTTTAGGGTGACGATCTAAATACCGTGCTCCGCTTTGCTGCCAGGTCGAATCGTCATCGCTCTGTTCCCGGACGCCCAAACGCCTCCAGTCCCGCCAGACACTGTGGATCCCGCCCTACGAAATCCCCAGATCGCAAAACGTTGAAGCCCTAAAGCTCTATGAACCCTAAACCCTAAACCCTAAACCAACCAGCCTAAATCCCGCAAGGTCCTTCGGAGGGGCCAGCTAGATCATCTACGTCGTGGAGCTCCTTGGTCTCGGCTCCTGGTACTTTCTTTTGGGCATGACGCCCCGAAGCACAAAAGAAGACCCAAGACCCCCAATTTCCTCACAACCCAAAGCCAAAACGGAGCCTAGATTTGGGGTGGTTTGGGCACCTTGTGTGCTTTTTTGGGGAGGGGGGGCTAAACCCAAGACCGAGAAGAACTCGAAAACCCGAGGATCGGCCCCTGCCTGAGGACATCTCCGGCGGTAGTAGCCAGTCATCCTGCGTTCGTGGCAGCTTAAAGATGTCGGCCCTCCTTTCCTTCAAGGTTTAGGTTACCCTAAATCCCATAAACCCTGTATACCCTGGGGTTTGACCTGGGTTGAATGCTTGGGGCTTGGGGTTTGGCAGTGCCAGGATACTGAAGCCAAGAGGCCTATCATCGAGAGTAAGACTCGAGTTTGGGAGGTTGGGCAAGATCGCAGCCTTGTCATGTATGGGCCTCACTAGTTAGAATAGGGCTTTGGGGGTTCCTTATTATAATTATATGGTATCATATACCCCAAACCCTATTCTAATTATTGAGGCCCCTAAACCCCAAACCCTTGTAGTAGCCCTTATAGAACCCTTAAAGGACCCGTTAAAAAACATATATATATATATATTCTTCCTTGTTATTCAGGCCCCCCTGTTTTGACTCGATACCCTTTTTGGCGTTTGGGGGTTGTCAGGGCCTGGCGAGCAGCTCCTCATCGGCTTAAGGGTTCGGAGCCAGAGTCCGCTGAAGCCCCCCTAAACGGCCCTACACCCGAAACAAACCCCGAAACCCGAAACCCGAAACCCCTAAACTCCAAGTTTAACCCCGAAACCCTCAACCCCAAACCCCCTAAACCCTGAATTTACTACCGAAACCCTCACCCCCAAAAACCTAGACATCCCCTAAGACCGCAAACCATCAACCCCAAACACCTAAACCTTCCCTAAACCTGTATGGAAACCATCGTCCCCTAAGGCCCGATCCAAGACCCCCAGACCCCCGAGGGCCTCAGTCACTGCCTGATCTAACGCCGAGTCCAGGGCCTGGGTTAGGGGTTTAGGGTTTAGAGGGTAGTGTACGGACTATATCAGGCTTCTAATTCTATTCTAGGGTTTGAAAGTGCGGGGTTTTAGTGAGGAGCCCCAAGGAATAATATCACTAATTATTTCGACCCTGTCTCAGCTTCAAGGCAGTGAAACCCCAAACCCAAAGCCCTTTTTCGAGGCTTCTTTGGAAGTCTCGGAGACT